ATGGTCATTTGGTTGAGTTTTGTGTTTGACATGCTTGAAGAACTAAGAATCATAAACCATGAAATTGATGTAAAAATTAAGAATTAATGATGCTAAAATGGTCCATGAACCTTGGAGAACATTTTTATATACTTTAATTGAAGTTTGGTGAGTAAAAGTGACATTTCCGCAAGTTGGCTCGAGGTAGAAGACGATGGATAATCGATTATCAACTTGAAAATCGATTATTCATCGTTCTGCAGATTTTTGTAACAAAGCTGAGCAACAGTCGATTATCAGAATGTGATAATCGACTGTCAGCCCTCTCTGAAGTTTGATAATCGATTATCAGAGTGTGATAATCGATTATCAGCCCATTCTGAACATCAGACAGTAGAATATCAGAAGTGACAGTAGACTGTCACCCTACACTATTGAAGAAAATGAAGCTAATGGCTAATAGTTGTGTTGGGAAAAATATTATAGATTTTGATGATGATGTATTTAGAATGTATTAGGGACTTTAAGCCTCCCCCAATATTCAATGTAATTTTTCTTTTTAGAAATATTGTCAAAACTGAGCTCTTGAGATTTCCAATAAAACTGTGATATCTCTTTAAGCGTTTTGATGCCTGAAGACTTAATCAAATTCAGTGATATGAAAAATTGGATATCTTGATCGGAAGTATCAGAAACAAGTAAGGATTTCTCAATCAGATGAAAATTCTCAGATCCGGAAGACTACATAAGAACCGGATGTCCCGCTACAACCCGCTGAAGGCTAATCGGAAGACTTGCGCGGATCTCTTTCTCATCCGGAAGTCTGAAAATGGCTCATCCGGATTTGTCAGCTAAGAATCGGAAGACTCACTGAAGACCGGAAGTCTCAGAAAGCGGACAAGTGAGAAAAGACTTAGAAAATTTATCTAAGTCCTGAATGAAGAAAACTCTAACCGTTGGCAAGGAAAAATCAATCTCTTGGTTTTCAACGGCTAGATTGAAGATAATTATGCTGATTCAAGAACAAATTGCTCGAAGACAAAGTCTGGGCATCTAAAATTAAAGAGCCTGCCCAGAATTCCTAAACAAGCACTAGAAGACAAACAGAGTAAAGTTCTACAGTCTTGAATTCTTGAACAAAAGCTAGAAGACGGATTTTGCGGAAAAAGGAATCCTTTCTCAACATTTGGGTACGTCCAAATGCCCACGTCAACAGAGAATCTTCAAATCACAATCTTCATTCAAAATTGAAGCCAGCAAATGCAACGGATAGTCTATTATGATTCAACGGATAGATTATCCAATCCAGTTATAAATAGCATCCTTGGAAGACTGGAGAGTACATGATGAGATACGCTGATGCAGCAACACAACGAAGCAATCACTAAAGCTATCTCATTCACAGTTAGCCCAAAAAGCTTGATAAAGAGAGATTCCTAAACTCCTTATCCAGAAGCAAACTTCACATCCTTCCAAAAAGCTATAGTGTAAACACTTGAAGGTTTCCTTGCCTCAAGCACCACACCACGTTGAAGGATATTACTTTTGATCAAACTTATTGATTAAAAAGGGGATAGGTCAACTCTCTTACAAGTTGATCTTGCAAGTCCTATTGTTCGGATCTTGCAGTTGTTGAAGAAGCTTGACCTTCGAAGGAACAACAAAGCCAGCACGAGTGCAGTAGCAACATT